TGTTTTATATATATATATATATATATATATATATATATTTATTTGAGTAATTTAACTGGCAACTTTCATATTTATTAATAAATAACTTCTTATGGTTTCTTTTAAGACACTGATTTGTAAGATTATTTTTATTCAAATAAATAAATAAACAAAAGCACATTTCTTGCTGATCACCTGTGCAGTCCATGTGTCTTTAACTACCAAAAATGGTTCAACTCGGTTCACCCTTCTTATGACACCAAAACTAACAAACTAAAATAAATTAGCCGACCTGAATTAAGAAAACAATAAAGAGTTCAAAAGTTTAAAAATATAAGTTTAATTTTTATAACTTAATTTAAAAGATATTATAAAATGAATGTTAAAACACCTATGAAATTCAATAATTTTGAATTATATAATAATTTATAATTAAATGAAAAAGTGAACAAATTATTAAATTATTTTAACTCTACAAAAGGAAAAACAAAAAGAAAAATCTTCGAATGAAACTAGGACTAGTTCCATTAAGTGTTTTAAGAGTTGAGGAAGGGAACACATAGCTTTCCAATACCCCACAAACAAAACAATAATCATTAGGGATAATGAAATTCGAAGTGAGGAAATCACTTCATCTTCTTCATCATCCTCAAGTAAAGAAGATGCTAGTCTTAGTTCTAGTGAGGAAGTACCATGTGGAGGTGACCTATTAGTTGTCCAAAGGTTACTTACGAACCAACCAAATGAACAAGACCAATCACAAAGAGAGAACCTAGATGCAAAATTTTTAAGAACACTTGTTCTCTCATCATTGATAATGAATCTTATAATAACTTTGTAAGCCAAAGGTTGGATGATAAGCTTAAGCTAACTACTATATCTCATCCTAAATCTTATAAACTTCAATGGCTTAATGAGGATGGACCTAAAGAAGTTAAGGACCACGTAAATGTTCCTTTCTCCATTAGAAAATATAAGGATGAAATTTTATGTGATGCAATTCCATTAGATGCAAGCCACATTTTACTTGGAAGGCCTTAACAACATGATAGGAAGGTCATCCATGATGGTGTTACCAATAAAATTCGCTTGATACACCTAGGCAAGAAACACACCTTGACTCCCCTTTCACCTTCACAAGTGTTGGAGGATCAATTGTTTATGAAATCAATAAAAAAAAAGAGAAAAAGAAGGTTATAGAGTTAGAGGGTAGGGTCTCCACCAAGGAAGTTGTTCCTAGAAATAATTTTTCAATAAAACATTCTATTAAAAAATGTCTTTTAGTTGAACAATCTCCTTACCTTATCAATACTACAAAGACACTATTTTTAGGAAAGAGTAAGGAGGATAGTGTCTCCTCCAAAAATCTTATGATAAAGGAAAATGACTTTTCTATAAAAGATGATTGTAAAAAGACTTTTCTTTTTCACAAAGATTTTAGCTCTTTTTCTACTACTGCCACAAACTTAGAGCTTAAGATCCAAAACCAAAATATTTTTGAAAAGAAAGGATCTCAAGTTCTTAGTCTAGTGAAGAAGAAGTGGATTTCACCTAGTTCTACTTCTTATGCTACTACTTTGGTGGTGCCCAAAGTAGACAATTATTATCTATTTAGGACTTCTTCTACTTTAGTTGTTCTAATAAAGCACCGAACATTTGATATATATTGTTTATTAGATACATCTCATGGTGTCTTATTTTGTATTTTTTATCTTAAGGGAAGTTCAAACTTCTTTGAACTTAACTTGACTACTTCCCTTCAAGACCAAATTAGATTATATGACTTCTAAATTTTTTACACCTTTTTCTATGTTGTATCTAACAAATAATATGATCAAAGGTTGTCTAGGTAGTTTCCTTATTATATTCACTTTGTTTTCTTGTAGGCTCCTAGGTTACTACATAGGGTACTTCAAGCAAGATACCTTAGTATGTAGGAGTACTTCATTAGTTTCTTATCGTTTTAGTACTTTCACATTTTTAGGATTTAGTTTTACACTTAGACTACACTATTGTGAGGATCCTATTCTTATTCTTAGGGAACCCATCTTTCCTAGTCTAAGGACCCTTGTTAGTACTATAGAAGGAATTCCTCATAGGGTGCACTTTCCACATGTATTATATGAATATATCATCCCTAATACTTTGTTTTTTGTTTTCCTTGTATGTGATGCTATCTTTGTGGAAGGACCATTGGATTTGAGGACAAATCCTTTCGAAGGGAGAGGGTATGATGAAAATCTAATCCCTAAGGATCCCTTTTGAAGAGGTAAGACCAAGAAGGGTGAAGGTTGATCCATAGGAGAGCTCACACTTGAAGACCATTGGGCCTTTAACTAGGTCTATTGTTAGGAGGCTAGAGGAGGCTTGTACAGAAGAGGTGCTTCTTAGACCTATGCTCAATGTGAGCATTAAGTATGATTCCTCTTTTTAGTCTTATAGTCTCTATTGTACATACCTTGTATAGTTTGAGTTCTTGTACCTTGTATATAGTAGATACTAGTATAAGTGTATTTTGCCTTGTATTTGTAAGGCACCTTTTCCTTTTTTATTGGTCATCCTTTTAGGATTTTAGGGTATGATGTTTGGAGACTTTTGGTCCATTTGACCTTCTTTTAAGGGTCATTGATTTTCATATTTTTAGTAGTAGAAGTGGGGTGACAAATAGTAAAGTGTGTAGGTGAAGTTAACAATTGGGCCTGTAGTGGGCCTAGGCTAATTTTTACATATTGGGCTTATTTTGCTTCATTTAATCCAAGGAATTGATGTAGCTAGGTCTCACCCTCATTAGGTGAACCTAACTAAACCAATTCCAACATTTTTGGATTAGATTAAGTGAAGGAAAACAAGATGGTTGCTTAGCTCTTCTAGCTTCTCCTACACACTTGGTTAGCTTGTGCTACAAGCTTTTAGCTTGGCTTGCTCCACAAGCTTTGAAGCTTAGCTTGTTCCAAAATATTCCAAGTTACTAGACCGGTTAGCTTAAGTGCAAGAAGGCTAACCATGGTTCTCCTTGAACTATAGTTAGCCTAGCTTGAACCACACGTCACCTCCTCACTGTATAAGTCTTTTTCTTCACTTTGTAAACACTTTTGATGATATATTTAAGATATTTTGGAAATTTTTCAAAAGTTCTCTCTTCCAAAAGTCTCAAACCTCTTTGATTTCAATCCAATTCTCTTATCCTCTTCATACAAGAGTGTGGTGAGTTTTGAAGTGGCTAATCTTTTTTTAAGGAGTGACGCCACTTGAGAGTATTATTCACCTTCTAAGGTGAACCTTGTAGCTTCTACCTCCATTGGAAGCTTCAACAAAGCTTAAGGAGAGGACCAAAGAGCCAAAGATCTAGGGAGGAGCTTAGAGAAGACACCAACACCAATCCAATTCTTCTACAAGTCTTCCATCAACTAGAACACGGCTTTTGATTGTTCCCATAGCTTTATACCTCAACCTAAATTCTGTTAACTCCACTAACCATTTCATCATCTAACCTGTTAAGTCTGGCTTATGAAGGACTTGCCTTAATAGTTGGTCAGTCTTGACTACTACCTGATAGCTATGGAAATAGTGGCAAAGCTTACTAGCGATGGCTAATATAGTGAGGGCTACCTTCTTGATTTTGTTGTATCTAACCTCTACACCATGAAAAACCTCACTAAGGAAGTAAATAGGCCTTTGTTTGCTATCCCCATGAAAAGAACTATGCTCATTAATTGATCCAAGACTACCACATACAATAATAAAGGATATTTATCATCGACTTTGATAGAATGGGGGGCTCCCTAAGTATTCTTTTAATAGAAAAAATTCTTTTTCACACTCTTCTGACCACATGAATATTTTCCTTTTCTTCAGGCAAAGAAAGAGAGGGAGGGTGATAGAAATCTAATCCCCAAGGATCCCTTTGGAAGAGGTATGACCAAGAAGGGTGAAGGTTGATCCATAGGAGAGCTCACACTTAAATAATATTGGACATTTAACTAGGTTCATGGTTAGGAGGCTTCTACAGAGGAGGTGCTTCTTAGACCTATGCTCAATATGAGCATTGAGTATGATTCCTATGTTTAGTCCCATAGTCTCTATTTTACATACCTTGTATATTTTGAGTTCTTGTACCTTGTATATAGTAGATACTAGTATAAGTGTATTTTGCCTTGTATTTGTAAGGCACCTTTTCCTTTTTTATTGGTCATCCTTTTAGGATTTTAGGGTATGATGTTTGGAGACTTTTGGTCCATTTGACCTTCTTTTAAGGGTCATTGATTTTCATATTTTTAGTAGTAGAAGTGTGGTGACAAATAATAAAGTGTGTAGGTGATGTTAACAATTGGGCCTGTAGTGGGCCTAGGCTAATTTTTAAATATTGGGCTTGTTTCGCTCCATTTAATCTAAGGAATTGATTTAGCTAGGTCTCACCCTCATTAGGTGAACCAAACTAAACCAATTCCAACATTTTTGGATTGGATTAAGTGAAGGAATACAAGTATTGTCGCTTAGCTCTTCTAGCTTCTCCAACACACTTGGTTAGCTTGTGCTACAAGCTTCTAGCTTAGCTTGCTCCACAAGCTTCAAAGCATAGCTTACTCTATAAGCTTCCAAGTAACTAGGGTGGTTAGCTTAAATGTAAGATGACTAACCGTAGTTCTCCTTAAACTATGGTTAGACTAGCTTGCACCATAAGGCACCTGCTTTCTATATAAGCCTTTTCTTTCATTTTGTAAACATTTTTGATGCATTCTATGAGAGATTACTGAATTGAGTTCTGAATTTTCTCTCTTTTAAAAGTCTCAACCTCTTTGATATTCATCCAA